CATTAGAATTATCTGTGTTATCATCTGCGTATGTTAGGGATCTTAATTGATTAGTTACCTAATAGAAGTGAACAAATTTGAATAAAAGGAGAAGTTACCTTGCATCTTACAGACTGGATTCCGTAAAGATAGGTCGCGCACAGACCAGATTTCGACACCATGGATCATCGTCGAACAATCAGTTGAGTGGAACTCATCACTATACATCAACTTCATCGATTATGAAAAGGCGTTTGACAGTGTAGATAGGAGAACGTTAGGGAAACTTCTTCGACACTATGGAGTTTCTGAGAAGATTGCCAACATTATCTTGAGCTCACACGACGGACTACAGTGCAAAGTAGTGCATGGAGGACAGCTGACAGATGCATTCCAAGTAAGGACCGGAGTCAGACAAGGCTTTTTACTCTCCCCTTCGTCTTCCGGTGGTCAACTGGATTATGAGGACCTCGAAATCTGAAGGGAAACACGGAATACGACGGACATCTCAGAATCAATTAGATGATTCGGACTTCGCAGATGACCTAGCCCTCCTATCGCATACACACGAACAAATGCAGATAAAGACAGCCAGTGTAGCAGCAGTCCCTGCATCAGTAGTCCTCGGTATACACAAAGGGAAAACCAAGGTACTCAAATTCAAAGCGGAGAACAGCAATCCAATCACTGTTGACGGCGAAACTCTGGAAGATGTAGAATCCTTCACACACCTGGGAAGCATCATCGATGAACAAGGAGGTTCCGATGCAGACGTAAAGGTGAGGATTGGCGAAGCAAGGACCGCATCCCTTCAATTGAAGAACATATGGAACTTAAAACAACATTCAACCAAAATCAGAGTGAGAACCTTCAATACGAATGTCGAGGCAGTTCTACTGTATGGAGCTGAAACTTGAAGAAGTTCACCAACCATCATCAAGAAGGTAGAAGTATTTATAAATAGCTGTCTACACAAGATACTCAACATCCATTGACCGGATACCATCAGCAACAGCCTTCTGTGGGAGAGAACAAACCAACTTCCAGATGAAGAAGAAATTAGGAAAAGACGATGGAAATGGATAGGACATACATTACGCAAATCGTCGAACTGCATCACGAGGCAAGCCCTAACTTGGGATCCTGAAGGGAAGCGGAAAAGAGGAAGGCCAAAGAACACATTACGTTGGATAATAGAAGCAGATATGAAAAGGATGAATTACAACTGGAAGGAGCTGGAAAGGATTGCCCAGGACAGGGTTGGATGGAGAATGCTGGTGAGCGGCCTATTCTCCTTCACAAGGAGTAACAGGTGTAAGTAAGTAAGTTATCTTAGATTTAACACAGAGAAAAAACCATGTGTCATTGATTACGATACATAACTAATCATAGTATTTTGTCCTATTCATTAATATCAGAGTAAAAATATACATGTAGAAATATCAACCCTTTTTATACTATGGCAGAAGGCTTGGTCATTAGATTCTTACTGAACCATAACAGTAGTCCATCAAAAAGTCTCATGAAATGAATTTCAAATAATATGAAAGCGTCCAGACACATCCCTTCTCCGCTAGATGCAAGAATGACTCATCCGTGTCACTCTAGTCTAATCAGAGTCCAAAGCTGTCGAGTGTATTGATAACTTGCCTTTGGAAGTTCCACCATTTATGATTTATCCATGGCGTACAGACGAGAAATGCATGTTTGTACAAAACGATGAGTAAGCTGTTCAGAACTTTGATTTTCATCAAATTATTATGAAATAGCCCATGAAGGTTGAAAAAAGGAGCGGGTTCCTCATATTTAGTTACATATATCCTTGATGAGTTGTTCAAGTACAATGAAAAAGCAGTGAGTAGATTTGAGTCTAGGCGTAGAGTATAGAATAGAAATAGCGAATCGATTGGTAAGTTTCGAAACTGTCAACGATTGACTCAGCTAGGACTTGTACTAAACATAACTAGCTGCCACCTACGCCGATGTACAATTCTGGTCAGTATAAAAGTTGAAAGACGCTTAGAGGTGACCGAACTAAGACTAGTACCAGTCTTTGAAATAGCTATTAGTCTAAACCTTCTCTGGATAAATAGAATTTTTAGTTGGAATCTATGAAATAACAACTGATTTGCTGTTAAGTAGCTTAAATGACGCAGCACGAAATTAGTGGCAATGTTGAAAATCGATTCATTTGGTATGATTATTCCCATAAGCGAAGTGACTAGGATACACTTAAAACTGGAATATTACACATGATTGTTTGTTCACTGATATTATTCATAATTCGTTAAACTGAAAACGGTTATCCATATATGTATTCTAGTTATCACACTGCAGATTTTATGGAAAAGACTTCTCAGTTAATGAACCCTACAAGCTAAGAAATAATAACCAATTAGGATAGAAATACCATTGAAACAAATTTGACTAGAAAAATTGTACATTCTTTATCTGAGTAAAATAAACAAATCCACAATGACAAAGAAATCAGTATTTAGCTTATTACGAACATTAGAAAACATTATGACGTAGATTATTAATACCAGCTACAGCTTTGAGACATATCTTGTGTGGATCAAGTGATAATACTCAGATACTCAAACTTCATAGGTATTGTGAAGTTGGAGCCTCTGATCTAATTGTTGAAGACCAAATGCAGTGGAAGTATTTTATACTATACAGATTACCTTGAACGACTCTAGGCATGACACCACGTTATTTACCGGTCGGAATGCATGCGATGTAAGTGAATAATTTCTATATGATGATGTAGTGTCGGTTGCTATATTAAGCTCATGTAGCTTATTCTGGCTTCAGAACAAGCCAATTTATTCATTCTTCTTGGGTCACATTTCGACCTTGTCAATTACTCACTCATCAAACTTAACTATTTTTATGTAAGCGTATGTGTGTGCATTCCTTATTTTATCCATCACATGTCTGTAACTTATTTTCGTCTGACTATAAATATCGATTGACGCTTGATTATAACGAATTGGCTTATATACCTTCTGCATTACGCCTCATTTCGCTTCTCTCTATTCGATCGTTTGTCTGGATCAATGATTGTATGAAATATACGTATTCAAATTTCATTCTCGTATCTGACTTATTTAATTTTGTTAATCACTAATAAAAGTTAAGTCGATGATTATAAACGACGATTGCCAGGATGTATATTCCGATAACAATCAAAAATGATCTAACTGAAATCAGATTAAAGGTCACAATGACATTAATGAGTATGATATTAATCTTTTGGATCAAAATATTTTAATTGAAGTCAGTAAAATTGTTGGGATATTCAGAAAAATATCTCAAAAAATTATCCTGTTAAGTCTAATGCTATCCTTCGACTTGAAACGGTATCATTTTCCTATTGGCCAAATATTTTACAAATGTTATTTTCTATTTTATGGTACGATGTGGTCTACTTGATTGGTATATAAACAGAGTATGTTTGAAATATAATGATTCATATCGTAGAGACTGAGACTTGTGTTCTGGACGTAACTGACTGGGCTAGACTGGAAGCAAGGTCAATCAGAACTCTAGGCTGCTCATACGGGTTTACGCGTCATTGATCCGATTGATAAGTCAATGTTCTCAAATCGGCGATCATAAGTTATAACATAAATAAAAAATCTTACATTCATAAACACATTGAAATATAACTAATCTCTTTGAATTTTTGTTTCACTTTTATGACAGTAATTCATTCAATTGTACAATGATACCTGATTATCTAATTTTTCAAAGTAGCAAATGGAAAAAACACAGAAAATTATAATTTGAGAAAAAAAAATTTTTATCTGATTTTTTTTTGTATTTTATCTTCTCCTTCATAAAAAAATAAATTTCACTAAAAATAAATAAATAAACACTAATCATTCTGAATTACAGTAATAATAATAATAATAGGTTATCGACAAAAAAGGGGGCGATAAAAAAATCGACCAAAAAAAGGACTGAAAGCACAATAAGGCCGGGGGGGCGGAAGGCATTGGCCATAATTAAAAGAAAATAATTACTAATATTATTACTACTGACAATAGTAATAGTAGTATTAGTATCATTTTCATACAGAAAAAAAAACAAAACAAACACAATCCACCCATGATAAGATACATTCAAATCAAAGTGATTTAACGAAGAAAAAAGAAAAGTTAAAGTTAAACTATTATCTAACAATGATCAATAGAATTAAATATATGACTAAGAAAAACAAAACAAATAATTTTATGGCAGATATTAAAGGTATGTAATTAGATAGTCATGGAAAGTCTAGATTTTTCCTGAATAAAAATTATTTAAAAAAAAGACAAATAAATAAGAATGAGAAGAATAACAAACTTGTATTCAGTAATAAATGAAATAGTTGAAGATAAATTTATTACAATAAAAGTAACTACCACCATTGACGATAATAAAAGGAGAATTTAGGAAGAACGTAACCGACTAGGATGGGGAGGGATGGCAAAACATTGTCCAATATATACGTTTGCTTTACAAATTCATCATCATCGTCAATTGATCAATTGAAATGTCTGCTTTTGAAGAGGGTAATTTAATACTTTATTTATATAAATATATAAGCCGAACAAACAAAATCGATAACTGTAAGAAAATATCATACTTATTAGTAATAGACATGATTTTTTTAACGTGGAGCCAGGGGGAGGGGAAAAATGCTGCTCTGACTGAGGATGTCTATCTACTGAAAGATACAACTAATAAAAAAAAAGAAAAAATAACAATAATAATTATTGCTTCTTTTTTTGTTCCTTCCGCCTAATTTCTCTGGAGGGAAAAACAAAGAAAACGAAGCAAACGAGTAAAACACTTCAATATTGAATGAATCAATTCGAAAGAAAAAAACAAACAAACAAACAAACCAATTAGAATTAATCAATTAACAAGGAAATATCACATTGATCATAAATAAACAGATAAGTAAATAAATAAATAAACAAAATAATCTGCAAAGTAATTTTTGTTTACTTTTCTTTTTTTTTTCTTTTCACAAATTAATTGAAATTTAAATATGTATATTTATATATTTGGCAAGAAAAATAAAATTGACTGCTATTTTTTAAATTATCATTCATGTTATTTATTTGACTAAAACCTTGAATATTGAATTTGTTTGCCTTACTTTCGCTATGAAATTAGAAAGAAAAAAAAAGAGTAGAAATATGAATCAAGATGAAAATACATTGTCAGATTTTCTTTTCTTTTTTTTAAAAAAAATGTTTTTCTCTAGTAATTAATTCTTGTTACTAAGGCAGAGGTTTATCTTTTTTTAAATATAGTAAATAGAATTGATGGAAAGACAAAGAAAGGAGTGGAAATTATTGTGTACTTTGAAATAATAATAATAATAGACAAAACAACCTAACAACTAATATCATCACTATGGACGTTTATAATATTGAATAAACAAAGACAAAGAAAATAATCATAAGAAAGAATGATAGTAACAATGGAAATAATAAAAAATAATATTCAATACTTATTTCATTTTATCTGAGTGAAATCAATAAGAAAGACAATTTCATATAATAAAGTTGTAAAGAAGAATTTTAATGTGTATGTGTTACGTGAACTGGCAGAATATGTGCGTGTATCCATAGTTAAAATACTCATTTAAGCCTGTTACTCTTAGTGGAAGAGCTATAGGCCACCCCAACAGGAATAGTTACGATAATAATAATAACAATAATAGTAATAATCCAACAGACAAAGCAATGTGACACAGATCATAAATGAAAATATACAAAGTAGGTTGCTTCTTAAAATTTTATATGCTAATCTTTTTCTCACTAAAAATAGTTCTAGAAAATTTTCAACAAAAACACGAGAGAAAAGTAAGAAAGGGTAAATGAAGAAAATGATAGTGCAGAAGACGGGATGCTGTAAACTAGCGAGGAAAAAAAATCATAAATGAATATTATGTAATTGTGTAATTTAAGCATTTACGTCTAAAAAACGATATTGATTACGTTGACCACGGATACGTTCTAATTTCCCAGAGACATAATACAATCTATATAATGTGAAATAAACAGACACAAACACAGAGACTGGTGAAATTGAATAAAGTCAATGGTTGATGATTACTAGAAGTTACTTAAAAAAGAGAAAATGACAAGAGTTGTTCGCAATGCTTTGAATTTCGATGGAGTTTTGTTCTCTGAGCTGGATGATTTGGTCGTGAAGCTTTCGTCATTATTCTGGATGACATCATCAGCACAAACTTCAGGTAGAATTGAAGTGTTCGAATTTCTCCACATATGGCTCACAGCTTGTCCTGTAGACCTCGATGTTGATTGGTTATTGTTGACCTTTAACTTGTCATTGTTTACTTCTGTGAGCCATATGCGAAGAAATTCGAACACTTCAATTCTACCTGAAGTTTGTGCTGATGATGTCATTCAGAATAACGACGAAAGCCTCACGACCAAATCATCCAGCTTAGAGAACAAACCTTCATCAAAATCATCCACCTGAGCTACAAATCTTTTCCATCGTCTCAAATATTTTGAATGTTTAACATGTGTTATATTTAGTAGTTTTGCTCATTTTTCTATTTATTTGGTAGGGGTGTTCTGAATAATGAAGTACAATTTTCAGGAAAGATTTCATTCATTTCAGGCGTTTGGAATTATACGCAATTGTCTGTTATAAACACGTTATTGTAACGCGAACCAATATGTTAGAAAAAAGTACATATAAAATGGAATCATTAATGAAAATTACACTCTTTTGAGATATCAGTTAGTGGTTGAAGGCAGCCAATAGAAAACCTTGGATCTAGAGTTTTGTGGTACTTGGAATTTATCAGTAAGGTGTGACTGTCATCTTGAGCGAACTGATATTCCTGATAGAATCTAACTCGCATCAAAGTTCGAGATATTATAACTGAGCAATTTTGGCCGCAACTGACCTGTAGAAGTCAGATGTTTTTAATTGATTAGTTTATAAACTTAGGTAACCCAGCTTTAAGTTCAACAGAGAGCATCAGTTTCCTCAATTTTCAAACATTTTTCTGATGTGTGCCATGTGGTACAAATCCTGACTCGAGTTTCCTGTCGTTTACTTTTAACCACCGGACATCAAAACATAATGTGCAGTCATTTCGACTAAATATAACATTACAACTTAATCAATAGAATTCGACCAATACTAAACGATTAGACAAATAAAACATTAATCACTAGTCACTAATCAATCAATTGAAAACTAAACATTAATATCTAGCACATAGCACAGTAACTCCTCCTGGAGTCCCTCCAGGGGCTACTGCCAGTCCCAAGCCCGGATAAAGGAGGAGGGTTGGGCATGGGGTTAGCGACCCCATCCCGTAGAAAACCGCTAACCAAAAAAATTATTCAAACCTTCTAAACTCTGCACCGGGAGTCAGAAGGTCTTCATTTAGAAGAACTATGACGCCTAATGATGAAAGCCGAATTCCTTCGGAAGTTACGAGGCCCATGCCCCTTCTGACAACCAGACCAACCATTTATTTAGGTACATGGAATGTTCGTACAATGTGGGACACCGGGATAGCCTTCCAAACCGCTGCAGAAATGAGGAGTTACAACCTAGAGGTACTTAGGATCAGTGAAACACATTGGACGCAAGTTGGACAACAACGACTAAATTCAGGAGAGCTCCTGTTATACTCCGGCCATGAAGAAGAAAATACTCCACACACACAAGGAGTTGCATTGATGCTGTCCAAACAAGCACAAAATGCACTGATAGGATGGGAATCCCATGGACCAAGGACCATCAAAGCCTCCTTCAAAACAAAGAAAGAGGGCATTTCAATGAACATCATCCAATGCTATGCGCCTACCAACGACTACAATGAAGACGCTAAAGATCAATTCTACGATAGGCTGCAGTCAATAATCGAGAAGTGCCCAACAAAGGATCTCACCATTCTGATGGGAGATTTCAATGCCAAGGTTGGAACGGACAACACTGGATATGAAGACATCATGGGACGACACGGACTGGGAGAAAGGAACGAAAATGGTGAGAGATTTGCAAACCTATGTGCCTTCAGTAAACAGGTCATAGGCGGCACCATATTCCCACATAAACGCATACACAAAAACACATGGACTTCACCGGATCACACCACGCAAAACCAAATCGACCATCTCTGCATCAACAAAACGTTCAAAAGGACTATGGAGGACGTGAGAACCAAGAGAGGAGCTGATACAGCATCAGACCATCACTTGCTGGTCGCCAAGGTGAAATTGAAACTCAAGAAACACTGGACAATGGGGCGGACAATATCACAAAAGTTCAATACGAATTCAAGATAGTCCTCAGCAACAAGTTCCAGGCTTTTCATGATCTACTCAATGGAGAAGGAACTACTATGGAGAGCAACTGGAAGGAGATCAAAGAGGCAATCACTTCAACATGTCATGAGGTCCTGGGCCACAAGAAACACCATCACAAGGAATGGATCACGGTTGATACACTGGATAAGATTCAAGAAAGAAGGAACAAGAAAGCAGCAATCAATACCAGTCGAACAAGAGCAGAAAAAGCCAAGGCACAAGCTGAATACACAGAAGTAAACAAACAAGTGAAGAGGAGCATCAGAACCGACAAACGTAAATATGTGGAAGATATAGCAACGACGGCGGAAAAGGCTGCAAGAGAAGGAAACATGAGACAACTGTATGACACGACAAAGAAACTCTCTGGAAATCGCCGCAAACCAGAACGACCAGTGAAAAGCAAGGAAGGCGAGGTAATCACCAACATTGAAGAGCAACGAAACAGGTGGGTAGAACACTTCAAAGAACTGTTGAATCGACCAGCTCCACTGAACCCACCCAACATCGAAGCAGCACCCACGGACCTCCCAATCAATGTTGGCTCATCAACAATTGAAGAGATAAGCATGGCCATCAGACAAATCCAGAGTGGCAAAGCAGCAGGACCGGACAACATTCCAGCAGAGGCACTAAAAGCAGACGTAGCGGTAACTGCAAGGATACTCCACATTCTCTTCAATAAGACTTAGGATGAGGAACAAGTACCAACAGACTGGAAAGAAGGACTTCTGATCAAAATACCAAAGAAAGGAGATCTCAGCAACTGTGATAACTCCAGGGGCATCACTCTCCTCTCAATGCCGGGAAAAGTCTTCAACAGGGTATTGTTAAACAGGATGAGGGACTGCGTAGACGCCCAACCTCGAGATCAACAGGCAGGATTCCGTAAGGATAGATCGTGTACAGACCAAATCGCAACTCTACGGATCATTGTGGAACAATCTATTGAACGGATTTCATCACTCTACATCAACTTCATGGACCACGAAAAAACATTTGATAACATGGACAGAACAGCACTATGGAAACTTCTTCGATACTACAGCGTGACTCAGAAGATAGTCAATATCATACGGAATTCCTATGATGGATTAAACTGCAAAATCGTTCATGGAGGACAGTTGACAAAGTCGTTCGAAGTAAAGACCGGTGTCAGGCAAGGTTGCTTACGCTCTCCCTTTCTCTTTCTCCTGGAGATCGACTGGATGATGAAAACTTTAACATCTGAAGGGAAACACGGGATACAACGGACATCTAGGATGCAGTTGGACGATCTAGACTTCGCAGATGATCTGGCCCTTCTATCCCAAACGCAACAACAAATGCAGGAGAAGACGATCAGTGTAGCAGCAGCCTCAGCAACAGTAGGTCTCAATATACACAAAGGGAAAAGCAAGATTCTCCGATACAACACAGCATGCACCAATCCAATCACAATTGACGGAGAAGATTTGGAAGATGTAAAAACCTTTACATATCTGGGCAGCATCATTGATGAACAGGGTGGATCTGATGCAGATGTGAAGGCGCCGATCGGCAAAGCAAGAGCAGCATATTTACAACTGAGGAACATCTGAAAATCAAAGCAACTGTCAACCAACACCAAGGTCAGGATTTTCAATACAAATGTCAAGACAGTTCTACTGTATGAGGCAGAAACCTGGAGAACTACGAAAGACATCATCCAGAAAATACAGGTGTTTATTAACAGTTGTCTACGCAAAATACTTCAGATCCGTTGGCCGGACACTATTAGCAACAACCTACTGTGGGAGAGAACAAACCAGATCCCAGTGGAGGAAGAAATCAGGAAGAAGCGCTGAAAGTGGATAGGACACACATTGAGGAAGGCACCCAACTGCGTCACAAGACAAGACCTCACACGGAATCCTGAAGGCCAAAGGAGAAGAGGAAGACCAAAGAACACATTACAACGAGAAATGGAGACAGGTATGAGAAGAATGAACAAAAATTGGATAGAGTTGGAAAGGAAGGCCCGGGACAGAGTGGGTTGGAGAATGCTGGTCTGCGGCCTATGCTCCATTAGGAGTAACAGGCGTAAGGAAGTAAGTAAGTAAGTAAGTAAACACAGCACAGTATATGAGCGGAAAAGTCGTCGAAAGTGATGAATACAACAGAAAATATAACATTTACGACGTTGAGAACAATCTAATCTTGAACTAAACTAAATAATAACTTACCTTAAACTACGACTAACCGATTCAAAAGTCATATTCACATTTTTACGATAATATCCCCATAATTGTGATAACTTTTGTGGATTTCTTATTTGAAAAATACGTGCTTGTTTATCAATCCACTGAACACAATTAAGATATTGTGAATTAGGATTGAATAAATGTAGTATAAATTCATCCGGTTGTTGATTAATTGAACAAAATGAACTTGTAGATGTTGTAGGAAATAATGATGAAAGGAATGCAGAGGATGATGATGATGACAATGACGATGAATTTGTGGAATTCGTTAAAGATGATGTTGATGAATCAGAAGAATATTGTAAAAGTTTACTAATAAATTGTAACAAATGCAAACGTTTATGAACAGGATTAGATATATTTATAGAATGATGGATTGAATTAGTTTTAGATTGGTTTTTACATGTTACAGAATTAGTAGTACTATTGCTAGTTAGTGTTGGTGTTATTGAAAATGAAGATAATGATGATGATGACGGTCGAATGGACGATGATTCATTATGTTCTTTTCTCATTGGAACAGGTGTATACATAAGACTATTTTCTTCACTTTCTAGAATATTTACAGTACCCTCAACATTCTTATTGTCGATAGTATTATTATTATTATTATTATTATTATTATTATTATTATTATTATTATTATTATTATTATTATAGAATAACTTTTCTCTTTGATTATTTGAAATTGATGGAGATAACTGAAATGTATAAGTGGATAATAAATCATGAGTAGGATATTGAACAGTTTGTCCTTGAGATGACGTAACAGTTTGATTAGATGGTAATTGCTGTACCATATCACTATTACTAAGAGAATAATCATAATGCATTGAAATTGGATGCGAATTATAGATTTGATCAATATGATTATTATTTACAGGAAATGATTTCTTTGATAAGGAAGAGAAACGACGTTTAGATTGATGATAATAATGATGTAATTGTTGTTGATGGTAGTGGTTGTTTTGATGATGATGATGCAACTGACGAGACCGTGTTAATGATGCAATGGACGAACTGCTATTTACAATTGTACGATTATAAACATACTGTTTACGTGTGAATTTCATTTGCCATACAGGTTTACTAGTTCTCATTGATAATGATGAAATATGTGGTTGAGTTTGATTATCAATAAGTGAACTATTTGAACTTGTAAACAGTTTCACATATGGATTAGAAGTAGAAATAATAACAGTACTATCTGGAGCAATAGTATCAACGGAATTAGTAATAGTAGTAGCCCTACTATTACTACTACTAATAGCAGTAGTTGCAGAATTATTAGATTTTGATGATACATTATCATTATTTAAATGATTATTCACCTGAATTGAGTTTATACAATTGTAGCATTGTTGTGATTTAAATGAACAACAAGAACTATTTGACGATGATGAAGAACATTCAATAGGAGATATTGTACTATAACAATTATTAATATTATTATTATTGTTACAATTATTAGCAAATGAAGAAGTGGATGAATTTAAGAAATCCATTTCTGTAGGACTTGAACACATGGAATTACAATGATTATTGATGTATCCAATTGATGATGTAGAAGATGATGATGAGGAAGGAAGCATAAGTAACGTATCATATTCATGACATGAATTAGGTGAGTTATCTAATGAGAAATTAAAAAAAAACAAATAAAACAGCGTGAGTAGTGATGAGGAAATTGATTATTTATAGATTACTTTCTATGTGGAGCATATCTATTTTAAAGAAATTTTTAAGTTAATTAATTTGTGGAATTCAGCTAAAGAAGAAATTAGGAAAAGAGGATGGAAGTGGATAGGACATACATTACGCAAATCATCAAACTGCATCACGAGGCAAGACTTAACTTGGAATCCTGAATGGAAACGGAGAGGAAGACCAGCGAACACACTGCGACGAGAATTGGAAACAGACATCAAAAGGATGAATAGCAGCTGGCAAGGATTGCCTCGGACAGAGTTCGACGAAGAATGCTGGTGGGCAGTCTATGCCCCTCCACAAGGGGTAACAGGCATAAATAAATAAGTAATTCGTAGAAAGTAGTTTAATCTGAAATTTGCTTTCATCACGCACTAATAATAGCCAAAAAACCATACTAGTGTGTTGTGAACTACTTACATGAACAGACATAAGTAGTACTTAGTAGGGATTGGAAGTGGGATGCTTACTAGCAGAACAGTAATCAGAATAACAAATGGATAAGAAGAATGATCGAAGATATGCAAATGATTTGTTCCGTTGTACTATTAAAACTTGGATTAATTTTAATTTGGTTATTTATTCTCTGAAGAAGTGACTTACACTAAGTCACGAAACGTCAGAAAATCTAATTTTCTACTTATTGGGATATTACAAATATATTATTTATTTATAAACTATGTTAGTTATAAATTGTAGTTAGTATGAAACGTGATGTCATCCGTATATATCATTTCTAATTAAATTATCTAAATATGAACCATTAAAATGGACAAGTAATAACATACTATATATATATTCCATGAAACAAATCAAGAAACTAAGTAGAGAGAAAAGCATATACATACAAATTCAGATAGAGGAAAGTAGCGCGTGATTTCTATGATTTTCGGACAAAATGAGTTCTTAAAGTGCATAGTATATATATATAAGGATAAATCTTATTGGATAGTACAGAAAAACAATAACAGCTAATATAAATTGGAAGCATTTTTTTCATCACGAGATAATTTTGGCTGAAAAAAAGCATTAGATACATAGGGAACAATGAACAATTCTCTTTCTCCCTAGATTGAAATCAATATTTACAGAAATGTCAACACATGTGATCCAACTGATGGACTTTAAATCTCACAAGACAAACATGATAGTTTCAAGTTAATGAATTGAAATTCAGTAAGTTATAGTTTCAAACTTAATAGATCGATAATATAGCACGATTTTCATTTCGTATTATAATTGAGTAAAGAACTCATTACTGATATTTTTATTTTCATAAATCAGGAGTGTCCCACTTGAACTCCATTCTTAGCTCTTATAATAGTTTAATCGATAAAAGATTTAATATTCTGAAAAAAACACATCTGTAAGCTAATTTTAGTGAAAACGAACCAATATTCCAACACAACGCAACTTGACAATGAATTATATGTTCCTACACTATGCCAAATACTATATACCAACTGTATGAAGATTTACAAGACTAACTAGGTGATCGATTTTAAAAGATATACTGGAGGTTCGAACTGCTCAGATTTCTTCCCAACACACACAGCCACACAATGGGATGAAGCTATAATTATCTGAATGGAACAAGTCCAACAATCCACATTGTAATTAAAACTATTGGAGTAAAAAACAATGATCAAGAGTAAAATAAGTCATTAGAACACAATTTTTTTAGTTAACACAAAGGAATACTGGTGTAATTTCGAAAACACTTATCAACTTTATATATATATACTATCACGATCAATATCAGACCAGTGATTTTAAGGCTTTTAGACACGTGTGTAACTGCAATCCAACCAACCAACAAAACTAGTTAAAATTATTAGGTCACGTTTACAACATATGTATACTATTTAACAATACATATAATCATGTGTACGCATGCGCACATAGTAAGATTATAATGAAACTAAGAGCGAGTGAGAGAGATCATGAGGTGAAAAGGATCAATGAAATTTGATGTGTTACAATATGAAATTTTCTTGATCTTTCTATGCAATAAGGCTGAAAAGTAATTATTACTTGAAGCCACTTACTATTGACAGAGCAATGATTATTTACTTTCATTTGTTAATATTTTATTGAATTATTTAATACACCTGAAAAAAATACTTCTCTGTTATTCTTATTTTGTCTGGTAGCTAATATATTAAGTAGTAAATATGTACCAGAGAATAGCTGAGATCGCTCACAACGTTCCCAGTGTTCGATAGGTCAGCTATTTTCCTATTCAATAGTAGGTGATTAACTACTAGATATTAGAGCATAATTTTCATCAGAGATATTATTCAAATCACTAGCTTTAATATATATTTGTACTTTTCATTCAATTGATTGGTGTGAGCTACACTAACACGTACATAGCAGACAGTTGTGGTTAACTCCAGAAGTTTGAAATGAAGTATTTAGTGAACATTGCACTCCATTATATAGCACTCACACATCAAATGGATTGAAAAGTGGCCGAAAGTGATGGGTAAAAAACAGCTATTCAACATGGGAAACGTTGAAGATAAGTAGTGGAATTGGATTTAAGGATATAACAATGAATTAAAGTTAGTTAACTTACAATCAGTTGAATAGTTTTTACAGAAGAAATTAAAATGTAATGGCATGGTTCTATGTCATTGGTAAACAATATTCAGATGAATATTAAAAAATTCGAAATAATAATGGTATCAATATAGTGAAAAAGAATAAATGTTGAATATGGTTGGAAAAGAGAATAAATTCGAGAAATATAAGTTTGAAATGATATTGGAGCTAAAAACTTAGGATCACATCTTTTGTCAAGTACATATAAAATGAATTTAAGATCTTAATTCAGTGTTTCTCTTTATTCTTGACAAAGAAATGTGTGATATTTATCCGATACACAAATTCAAGAGTGGTGCAAACGCCCAGAGTATGACGAAACAACTACACAATGATTTTCTCAACAATTCTGACACTGATTTGATTGTTTCCCTCATTCTAATTAACTTCACACGATCATAGTTCTATAGAATAGTATGGTATAGGTTGAACAAGTGAAAAATAATATTAGTACCAACCAAAATGTTGTAGATTACTTAACAATATATCATCTAAATTTAGTGTTATCTGTGATAGCTAAAATATGAGTACGCTTACAATAAAATGGAGTTCTTCTTCTTCATCCTGGCTATCTCGACCTGACTGTTAGCTAGTCAGTAAAATGATACCTTGAGAAAATCATGTTTAGATTCCTTATTACATTGTGGTGTATGCTACTTATGTCTGTCGACATACGTAGTATGTAACACCAATCAGAAGTGGAATGCCTGGCAGCAGTAGGTTGAGAAGTTCGAATAGAAGAGAGCGGTAATGTAAACAGAGAGCAGTTGTAATACCAATGAAAGACGATGAAGTTTGCGATAATTGATGGAGAATTTGCAAATGAAGTATTTAATGTATGGTTTTCACATTTTACCAAAGAACTCTGTAATTTTGCACTAAACAATAACTTGGTTTTCCCCTCCTGAGTTCGCGTTTATTACAGTAATACCTAAATGATTAGTTTTTCAAATTAGTCAGTAGTGCTGTTAGAGGTATGAGGGTGGCTGTCACTTTCTGGTTGCCTACACCGTGGAAGATTGCTTTATACTGAGGAACCTAAAAGGAAAATCGAGTCATTGGTGGTCTTAATAACTTGGGAGATGGCCACACTGCCCAATGGAAAACAGCTTGAGCTAGGCAACACACACAGAATCTTTGAGAGTACTTTTTGATAAATAAGCTCTGTTATTTTAAGCCCTTACCATCGACAACAGAAATCCATGGAACACGTTGAGGTGTAATATTTCCTCCACCAACCTTCTCTAACTACTTCTTTTCTCTGTGGAGAGTCAGCATCGCTATAAATGCTGGCTGTTACACCCTTGTACAGTTGCAGATAAAACTTTGTCCTTCGGTCATGAATTTGGTGCTTCTGGTTTTGCTGCTCTTTAGCTAATCTATCTGGTATCCATGGTCTTAAAGAAACGTGTCCCAGTTAATCTAACTTGACTAGGTCAGCACAATAAGTAAGTCCGACTAACTTGTCAAGGTAGTAGCAGCAGTCAGGATATCTGTTTTGATAACAAACTAATTGCCATCTGAGTTTTGACAGATAAAACTAAGTTTAGAAAGATATTTCTGAATGATTGAAAATTATTACATTGCTCAATTGGTTTGGCAGCTAACCGAATATCATACATCATATTTATGTTTAGAACAATGGTAAAGCATTAATTGCAAAGAAGCATTTCTGAATTTATATATTTTAATATTTCTATGAGAATATTTAACACGCATTCCTTGAAACGCGAGAAATGCTACGAAGACATCTATGATTCGAAATCTTCAGCCTATCAGTATCTTCTTTCGCAGACCATGTTCTACAGCCATAAAGGAGAACAGGGAGGATTGCTGCACAGTATATAACCCATTTGGTTAACAGACAGACACTTTACCTACACTACAAGTGACACAAGCTAGGAAATGCCAACCGAGCTTTCTGTATCATGCCGAGATGTCGTCAGGCACCAACCCACACAAGCTGATGAAACTTCTGAGATAAGTGAAGTGGTTGATACACTGAAACCACTACACTCCTTATCAATAGTTCAGATGCAAACCAATCTTGAAGCAGCACTTTGCATCCAGAGAGAATGAGAGTTCTACCATTAAACTATCTAGCTCAGAAAACATAGCATTATCAAAAGCATTCACCCGAGCTGTACATCTCAAACATTTTCCAAGAAATAATTCTCCTATGACAACAACATGAATCGGATTTCGAATCTGTTACTCTTTTAGCTTAAATCCAGTGTTTCAATGGACAGTATCGTGCTCCCCAACTAGAGATTAAATAAAATTTGGTTGTTAAATTGATATCACCTGAGGATCCGTTGA